CGCTGCGAGAGCAACACAAGGCAGCGTGACTTACGCACGCGCACCTTCAGAAACTCTTTGTCGCTGCATGGTAGCATCGAGATCGGACTGGTGTGGTAGTTGCAGGGCGGGACTGTATCATGACTTCCCGCCGACTTTGACTACCAAGCAAAAGGAGTCTATGCACAGTGCTCGGGAAGATGACTCACTTGGCGCCTGACTTCTTGTACGCGCCTCTCGGCTTGCGCTTGGGGCGCGCCGGGTCGCGCCGATGATGAGCTCGAGCGACGCGGCCTGCGAAGTTCTCGGCCGCTGCAGCATCGACATCGACGTTCAGAAAGTTCAAGGCCATGGCCAGCGCCGTCTGGTCCAGAGCCCGAAGCAAACAGGTGAGCTTGGCCGGCTGCTCTCGGCACAGTCGCTTCATGCTCTGAGGATCGCAGAGCTCACAGTGACCGGAGGAGGCGGCCATCGCCGCTTGCGAATTCACGCCGAAGACACAGGGCGTGCCCTCCCGCCCAGCACAAGATGCAGGACTGGACCTGTCTCGGCGACGAGAACCCATGTGCGTCTGGCTTCGCCGAGGACGGCTTCCTCGCCGCGGTCGAGCTGGGTCTTTTCGGTGACGCGCTCGAGCAACTCTGTCGCGGTACTCCTGCTCGATTTCCGTTCCCAGGGCAGTTCGAACGTACTCAAAAGCTCTGCCGTCCGCCGGGGCCGCCACAGCATTGAGCAAGTGCGTCAAGCGTCCTGGCAAAGACTGATGCAGGGTGGCAATCATATCCTCATCGCACAAATCGCAAAGACCTCCGGGTGCAGCAGGCGCGGGCGAGGAAAATTCTCCGAACACACAAGGAACATCTCGACCGCGGCAGTTGCCGTGACCCTCATGAGGAGCATACATGAGCGACAGGAACTTCGCGGGTCTTTCATGAGGCTGCTGCTCAACCTTGGGACGGTCAGGGCGTTCCAGCTTCACACGACGTCTGACCGAAGGAAGGCTAGCCGGCGGCGGCGGGCTTGGAGTCTCAGCATCGTCGCACAAGTCCACCGTCACCGAAGACATGTTCAACTTGCACTGGAAGGCCATGACTGCAGACACTGAATCCTTGCACTACGACGTGCCTGCGCCAGAAATCTTGCGGCAAATAGCACCCGAATAAGAAACAGTGCGGAGCAGGTGCAACTTAACAG